TGCATGCATGTGCAGGTGTGTGTGCAGGTGTACACATGTGTGCATGTGCAGGTGTGTGTGCATTTGTGTGTCTGTCAGGGGGTGTATGAATACATCCATGTGTGAGCGTGTCCCTGTGCATATGTGTGTGTGGATGCATGAACATGCACAGGTGTGTGTCTGTGCCCCTGTGTCCATGCACACACGTGTATGTGTCTGGATGTTTGTGTGCATGTTGACATGTGTATACCCGGATGTGGATGCATGTGCATGTACAGATATGTCTGTGTGTGTGTCTGTGTCTGTGTGTGTGTACACGGGCATGCGTGAGGATGTGTAATGCACATGTGTGTACATGCATGAGCCTGTGACCCTCTGTGTGTATAGATGTCTGTGTGGGGAGGACAGTGCTTGTGTCCCTGTGCATGTACACGCGTGTGTCTGTGTCCTTGTCCGGGAGGGAGGATGTGTGAGTGCGTGTGTGTATGTCCCTGTGCATGCATGTGGTCGCATGAACATGCACAGATGTGTGTGCCTGTGTCCCAGTGTGTGTGTGTGCATGGATGTGTGTGTCCCCACGTGTACACGTATGTCTGGATGTGTGTGCACATGCGTGTGCCTGCATGTGGATGCATGAGCATGTACAGACACGCATGTGCATCTGTGTCCTTGTGCTTACGTGGGCACGTGTGAGGATGTGTAATGTGCATGTGTGTACATGTATGTGTCCGTGACTCTCTGTGTGCACAGATGTGTGTGTGGGGAGGGCAGTGCTTGTGTCCCTGTGTGTGTGCATGTGTGTGCATGAATTTGTGTGTGTCCTTGTCAGGGGGTGCATGACTGCACATGTGTGTATGTCCCTGTGCATATACATGGATGTATATATGTGGATGCATGAACACGCACAGGTGTGTGCACGCAGACATGAGCACACACAGGTGTGTATCTGTGTCCCTGTGTGCGTGTCCCTGGATGTGTGTGTGTCTCCACATGTGTGTACATGCTTGTGCCCGGGTGTTTGTGCACACGCGTGTGCCCTTGAGCTGTGTGCCTGCACATGCGTGTGCAGTTGTGCATGTGTGCAATTGTCCAAGCACACGTATGTGTGTGTGTTTGGGGGTCCCATCCTGCCCTGGACCAGCTTTGTCCCACAGGTCTGTGTCCCCCCCTGAGCCACCCAAAGGTGCGGGAGCTGTGACCCCCTGGCTGGTGCTGCCAGAGGGGCTGGTGGGTGTCACAGCAGCTGACCCGGCCCCACCTGATGTGGCTCCTGACCCAGGCTGGAGGTTTTCTCGGGAAGCTCCTGATCCAGGCTGGAGGTTTTCTCGGGAAGCTCCTGATCCAGGCTGGAGGTTTTCTCGGGAAGCGGGATCCCAGCCGCCCTTGGGCCCAGGAGTCATCTTGGGTTTCCTCAAAACGGGCAAAGGCTGCACAGGGCGGGCAGAGCCGCTGCTCTTTGGCCACCAATCCCTTGTGCCCATGGCCAGGGACACACCTGGTGCTGGCTCGTGTCCCTCCTGGCACTGCCAGGGCCGAAAAGCCCGGTGAGATGCTTCCTGGGACTTCCCGTGTCCATGTGATGTCCTTGTGCTTTATCTGCTTGATTTGAGTCACACCTCCACCCGCTCCCCGGTGCTAACGACTCTCCTCTCCACTGGACACAGGTGACCAGGATGCTGCACCATGGGAGGCACTGGAGGTCCATGTGCAAGGGACTCATCCTGGGGACCCTCCTGACCAGCTTCATGCTGCTGCTCTACTCCTACGCCGTCCCTCCGCTGCAAGTCAGCGTGACAGAGTGAGTGTGGGGTCCCCACGTGTCCCCCTGGCCAGTTTGGCCACCATATTTCACACTGGGCACCCTCAACTAGAGATGGTCCTGGGGCTTTCCAGGCTCTGGTGGCTTCATACTGAGATGTCCCCTTCCTACAGTCTCCTGTTGGAGACTGCGCCCTGTCCCCATGGGTGGGAGGGGAATCGTCAACTGGTTTGGGTTGGAAGGGACCTTGAAGCTCATCCAGTCCCAACCCCCCTGCCAGCAGCAGGGACACCTTCCACTAGGCCAGAGAACCCCAAAAGCATCACGGGTGATGTCCCCTGGTAGCCAGGAGCAGTGGGCAGAGCCTTGGTGGTTATTTGGGTTTCTCTTTATCAAGAGTTTGTCCTTCAAGATCAACCAGAGCGTTGCCACGTGTCAGCTCTCACCCACAGAGGTGGGCACGGGTGGGTTCAAAGCTCTCTGCTGCCCGTCGCGATGAAAGCTGGTGCTCAGCAGAGCTCAGCTCCTGGCCGTCCCTCCTGGCATTGAATTTATCTCCAAGATTATAAATGAGATTTGCCAGCGGGTGTTTCATAACCTACCCGTGCTCCCCTGCGCTGCTGGGTGGGAGCCTTATCAAGGATCAACTCTGCAACTTCATTAACGGTGTCCAAAGTCACTCGACACTGCGGCCTCTGCTTCCTGCTCCTGCCATCTCAGATAACACTCGAGCTATTCTCTGTGCTCCCGCGGGCTCCTCTGCAGGAGCTCTACAATTATTTCCCTCTTTGCTCTGGTGCTGGATCCTTCACGACTCCTACAAGGGGTTGAGAGCTTCCAGACTTCCCAAGAACCTTACCAGCTCCTGTCTGCAGAGTTACAGCCGCCCAGAGCTTGTCTCAATGCCCATCTCAACATCTCCTGCCCCAGGGCCACCACAGCTGTGCCCATGGGGAGGGATGGGGACACCCAACTCAGGCTGCACCGATGCTGGTGGGGGCTGACCACCGTGAAGACCCCTGTAGCAGCATGTCCTTGGTGGCAGGGGTTATCCAGGGGGTGAATGAGCTTGGTTTGGTGGCTTGGAGGTGCACCTGATGTTGGGGGCCTCATGGGGGCAGTGGGCTCTGCCCAAAGCCAAGAGGTTCCTGATGGGTGGGTGTCCTGGTCCTGCTGAGCACGTGGCTGAGGGTGAAGGGGGCTCTGCATGAAGCTGGGCTCGTCTCTGCCAGGGAGCTTGGGGGATGGAGCACCCACCCCCAGGTCTAGCACCCACCCCCAGGTCCAGAAGATAAAAGGACCAAGATGGTGGCTGAGCTGCCCTCACCATGGTGTCCTGTCTCTTCTCCCCACCAGGATCCCCATCCCCTCATCCTGCTCCTCCAACCACCCCCCTGGCAGGTCACTGGCAGCGGCCAACAGCACAGGCGTCCCAAGGTGAACATCATGTTCATGAAGACCCACAAGACAGCCAGCAGCACCATCCTCAACATCCTCTTCCGCTTTGGGGAGAAGCATGGCTTGAAATTCGCCTTCCCCAACGGCCGCAATGACTTCTACTACCCGTCCTACTTTGAGCGCAGCCAGGTGCAGCACTACCGGCTGGGCGCGTGCTTCAACGTCATCTGCAACCACATGCGCTTCCACTATGAGGAGGTGCGCAAGCTCCTGCCGGCCGACGCCACCTTCGTGACGGTGCTGCGGGACCCCGCCTACCTCTTCGAGTCCTCTTTCCACTACTTTGGGCGCATCATCCCCCTCACCTGGAAGCTGACAGGGGAGGACAAGCTGGCGGAGTTTCTCCGGGACCCCTGGTACTACTATGACCCCAATGGGTTCAACGCTCACTACCTCCAAAACCTCCTCTTCTTTGATCTGGGCTACGACAACAACATGAACCCCAACAGCCCGCTGGTGGAGGAGCACATCCAGGAGATCGATCGTCGTTTCCACCTCGTCATGTTGCTCGAGTACTTTGATGAGTCCCTGGTGCTGCTGAAGGACTTGCTGTGCTGGCAGCTGGAGGATGTCCTCTACTTTAAGCTCAATGCCCGGAAAGGTTCCACCATCTCCCGGCTGACACCTGAGCTCTACAAGAAGGCCACCTCCTGGAACCTCATCGATGCCAAGCTCTACCGCTACTTCAATGCCACGTTCTGGCGTAAAGTGGAAGCCTACGGGAGGGAGCGGATGGCCAAGGACGTAGCTGAGCTGCAGCAGGAGAACGAGAAGATGAAGAGCATCTGCATCGATGGGGGACATGCCGTGGATGCCAGCGCCATTCAAGAGTCCTCCATGCAACCCTGGCAGCCGCTGGGGGAGAAGTCCATCCTGGGCTACAACTTGAAGAAGAAGATCAACAAGAAGCACCGGAAGCTGTGCCGCAAGATGCTGACACCCGAAATCCAGTATCTGACCGATCTGGGGGTCAACCTCTGGATCACCAAGCTGTGGAGCCGCGTGCGGGACTTCCTGAGGTGGTAGGGGAGGGTGGACACCCCGCTCTCCCCGGGGAAGAACCAGGTGCTTTCCTTTTTCTTACTCATGGTGTCTTTTGGTTGGACATGAGCAGAACCGGCTGGTGGCTCTGGCACCCAGGAGTGTTGAGGGAACCCTCCATCACCGTCCTGCTGAGACCAAACCTGGGCAGGAGCCTGTGGAGTGGCCACTGTCACCCACGGGTGGGGAGAGCGGAGTCCCTGCCTTGAGGGGTCACACACTGGTGGCTTGAGGGTGGTTTTCTCCAGCAGGACCTGCTTCTTCCTTCCCCGCAGAAAGGCTGGAGGAGATGTTCATGAAGGACATGGCCCTGTCACAGCAGGAGCAGCCACCCATCACACACCGCTGGAGGGATGCCGTGGGTCGGGCAGTGCGGGCAGGGATGTGCCCAACCAGCAGCGGCCCCCCGGGGTGGGCAGACCTGTTGGTGGGGAACCCCCACCCCAAGGGGCTCCTCAAATCACCCTGTTTCCCTCAAGCCTTCATGTTGGGGCTGCGTGTCAGAGCCCACTGCGCTGCTCAGGCGTGGCCCAGCCCATGGGTGCGATGAGCGCAGCACGTTCTCAGCCCACCCGTGGGTGTCCCTCCATGGCAGACAGTGTCCACGCTTGGGTTTGGAGAACAGAAAACCAACCCCAAAGGAAAACCAACCCTAAAAGTCCTGGCTTTATCAACAGGCTAGTGGTCCCCATGGGTGAAGGGTGAAGGTCCCCTCCTGGTCCCCATTGTCCCAGTTAGAGGGCCCCCTGGCCCTGGTCCCCCCAGGGGACATCCCAGGAGGTCCATGGGGTCTGGTGAGAACCAGCATGGGGAGGAGATGAGGAGTGGGGTCTGGTGGCCACCGTCCCAGTGATGCCATCCCCCGGGCACGGCGGGGATGCCGAGGGCAGGGTCTGTACCCTCCCCATGGTGGTGGGAACAAACCTCGGGGATCCTGGCCGGGCTGGATGACACCGGCAATGCCGCATCCTGCTGAGAGTGGCCCTGGCCAGGCGCGGAGGTGGCACTGGTGGCTGAACCCCCCAGCAGCCAGGGGCCCCCGCAGCCCCCGCCCATGTTCTGCTCCCTTTGTAAAGACCAGAAATAAAAGAAACGATTTTACTTTTGTAAGAGAATTGTCTCTTTGGCGGTTTGTAGCACAAGGATGGTCCAGCTGCTCCCCAACCAGCTCCTTCTTCTCCAAAGGCTGGAGAGATGGGGACCTTCCCACACTGACCCCCAGCTCTACTGGTCCCTGCTCTGCCCGGGGGGTCCTGGGGCTGGGGACCCCCATGTCCCTCAGCAGCGCTGAGGAACGAGACCCCTGGATCCATCCCTGCTGGCGTGGTCCTCTCACGGGGTGCAGATGCCACCAGGAAGGGTTGTTGGTTTCACAGTGACACCAGACCCATGGGACAGCCATTGTGGGTGACACAACTCACTCGTGCCACCAGGTCCCAGCTCCCTGCTGGCGAGTGCAGCCTGTTTTCAGGGGTGGTCCCAGAACTTGCACCAGGGCTTCTCCAGATGAAGCTCCAGTGGGACTGGGGTGGGCACGTGGCCTGATGGCCAGTCCGGAGCCACCGCTGGGGCCACCAATTCAACTGCACGTGATGCTGCCCACAGGCAGTGGGGACACAGAGCTTGGGACACCTCCCTGAGGTCCACAGGTGTCTGGGGGACACAGAGCTTGGGGCACCTCCCTGAGGTCCACAGGCATCTGCCATGACGTGCTGAGGTCTCCTGCTGGGAGCAGGGGCCAAATCCCACCTCAGCCACTGGTTCCCTCTGCAGATGGGGGGATGGAAAAGCCCCTTCTGAGGCAGGAGGGCAGCTGCTCAGCCCACCTGGGATGGTGTCCCCATGGGGACATGCTCCGTGTCCCTCTGTGCCACCAGGTTAGCGTGGCAGAGGGGGCTGCAATGGGGTTTGGGGGTCACCTGAGACAGGCAGGAGCCACGGACACGTGCGCTTCACCAGGTCTCTGTCCTGGCTGTGACCAAACCACTGTCCCCGTCCTG